TGCTGTGCTGGGCACAGGGGCTTTGGGCCCCTTTCTCCTGCCCCTCCCTGAGGGGGATAACCCAGACGGTCAGTCCTCTCTGATTTCCACTTCCATTAGCCCCTCCCCCTCTGCCTCTCCGGGCCTGTGACAGGAGCTGAGTTGGCCTGTCCTCAGCTGTGATCTGGGGATCCCCCAGCAGCGTGGGTGGGTCTGGGGTCCAGCAGGCTGGGGCAGAGGCTGTGAAGGGGGAGGGATGGAGCAATGTGGCCCTCTCCAGGCCACTCTCTGAAATTACAACAGCCTGCCCTGGCCAGCATGGAAGCAGCTCCTGTCTAAACACTGACCCCTCATCCTCCCTCTTCCCCCTGCCCCTCCATGGCTTTCTCAGGCTAACATCTCATCCGAGGACTCCCAGGAATCACTCCACTGCCCCGAGGGGTCCATGCCCTGGGCTCGGGCGCTGTGGGGAGGAGGTGGGTGCACCAGCATCTTCTCCCACTGGGAGTCTCTGAACCCTACCGAGTGACTCCCCCGGCCTCTCCCCATTCCCCATTTGGGATCGCTGGGTTTCCAGGGGCAGAGCCAAGCCCTGTCGAGTCCCAAGCAGCCGTGAGCTTTGGTCTGCCAAAAGGAAACGTTACCTGTTACCCTGTGGGACTCCCTGCCGCAAAGGAGCAAAGGCGTGCGGTGGGACTGAAGAAGAGTTCCCTTCCCCCCTTCTTGCTTTAAACCCCTCCTCTTGCCATCTGTCTTGTCCCTCCTGACCCCTACCCCCTTGCTTGCATGTTCGCCTCCTTCTTCCTTACGCCCATTCCTTCCTTCCCGCCTTGCTCGTCTTTCTTTTGTTCTTTCTGTTTCATTCTTTCCTTCTGGCTTCCTCTCACGCTGTTCTTTCTTCCTCTCGCCCGTGCTTTGTTCTCTCCCGCGCGCGCTGCAGTTCTAGCTGGGGGACTGAGCTGGAGAGGCTGGGAAAGGTGAAATTCTTCCCGGATATTATTACTCTGCTCTTGGCCTTTTGGCCTCGGCTCGGGTACAATCGCGAGCAGAACAATGAGGGGCCCCCAGCCTGGGACTCTCAGCCCCCCAGGAAACCCACTCCACTGAGCTAATGTAATTTAGGCAATTATTTTGCAGAGCTTGCAGAGAAAAATGCCCCCGAGCCAAACCTCCCCCTCACCCACCCCCCTCCCCCACACCCGGCCAGCCACAGAGAAGTGATTGCAACAGGCAGCGTGGCACTGAAAGCCCACAGCCCCATGTCAGAGTGTGTGGGTGTGCACATGGGGGATGGGGGCGTCTAGGGGGCTGCGCTGACGTGGGCATGCGGAAAGGGGGGTATGTGCATGGAGGGGGTCAGGTGTTTGGGAGGGCACACGGGGGGGGGGGATCTGTATGTAGCGAGCGTGTGGGTGCGGGTGGGTCTGGAACACCCGAATCGCCCTCCCGGCTCTAGCCACCCAGGCCAGCGGCCTCAGAGGCAGGGAAAGGGAGCCCCCTAGAGGGCAGGGATGGAATTACCAGACTCCATGGGGCCTTTGATCCGGGCCCAGGGTTTCTAGCCCTGGTTTCAATCTGTCTCCTCCCTGGGACCCAGCTGTGCCTGACCTGTCCTTGGAATCCTACTGGGTTCTCAGCCCCTCTCTCATCCTGTGGCAGGGAGTTCCCCAGGCAAATTCTGCCCCCTCGCTAAAGCAATCCCTGCTTTCAGCCTCCTCATGGGTGCTCTGGGCCCGGGGTTCTGATCAGGGCCCAATGGAGGAAATGATTTTACCTCAGGGGGATTGTCTGCCCTGGATTGGGACCTCACAGATACCTGGAGGCAGACCAATGCCTATTACGCCTCACAGGAGAGTGGATGGAAGGGGACTTGTTCGGGGCAATCTCCGGAAACCGAGACACTGAAACAGGAATGGGTTTCTGCGCAGCGACTCTGTGTCAGGGCTGGGGATAGAACCCAGGCATCCCGCCCCCTGGCTCCCCCAGCCCCATTTTAATCCTTAGGCACCACTCTCCTGAGCTGGGACTAGAACCAGGGGACCAGAGTCCCTGTCCCTTGAAGACATAAAGCCCTTGCCTGCTGCAGGTTACTGAAGACCTGCCCCCACCCTCCAAGTGTCTCACCAGCCTCAGAGCATGAAACCCAGCTTCCTGGCCCCATCCCCATGCTCCTCAGTTCCTCCTTACTCCCTGCCATCCCTCTGCGTGTCTGTGTGCTGCCCTGACACACCCCAGAATGGCTGCATTTTTGAGCCATTATGCAGTGGGACTATTCATTAATGGCCTCTCTCTCCCCCCAGGTGCAATAACCGGACGCAGTGCGTGGTGGTGGCCGGATCGGACGCTTTCCCGGACCCCTGTCCCGGAACCTACAAGTACCTGGAGGTCCAGTATGACTGTGTCCCATACAGTGAGTCCCGTTCTCCTTTTACAACCGTGTTCGGGTCCGATCTGTTGGCTTCCCTCCTCCCTGTCAAAACCTCCCACCCAAAGCGGGGGGAAGATCCCCCTGAACCGGCTCCCTGGTCCCTGGCACTGTGGGGTGGACGTGGGGGGTGACTGGGGCCAGAGATAAAGGATTTGAGCACTCCTTTTACAACCGTGTTCGGGTCCGATCTGTTGGCTTCCCTCCTCCCTGTCAAAACCTCCCACCCAAAGCGGGGGGAAGATCCCCCTGAACCGGCTCCCTGGTCCCTGGCCCTGGGGGGGGGACGTGGGGGGTGATTGGGGCCAGAGATAAAGGATTTGAGCTCCTTGCTTGAGGTCCATCTTTTGAGGAAGACCATGTGGAGATGCTAATAGAGGAGATTCTGCCGGGGGGCAGTCAGTGCTGACCCCAGTGTGGAGCTAGGGGGTGCTGTGCAGCAAGGAGAGGGTGTGAGGGGCTTGGTAGGGGGTGACCCCCTCGTAGTCGGTGCAGGGCCCAAAGGGCAAGGGAAGTTGGCAAGCCTGGGGCGGGGGCTTATCATGCGTCTCGGTGCTGAGGCTGCTGGTTCCTCAGGCTCTTCAGCCGGTGCTGGCCAGCAGCTCCCTAGAGGTTTCCTTGCATCCCAGCCCCACTAAAGGCTACACCGCAGTATTGCTGTCCGTCCCAAGGGGGCACAGGGGAGCAAGGTTGGATGGGGGCTGGCCCTGCTTGTTCTGGGCATAGGGAGGATTGTACCTGTCCCAGGTGGGGCTGAGTGGGGACAGGTGGGAGGGGAGTGGGGTCTAGTGGTTAGAGCAGTGGGAGGCGTCTGGAAGTTAGGACTCAGCTGGGAAGGATCCTAGAGCTACATTTGAGGAGGGAGAGTCCTGTGAGGAGAAGCTTCAGGCAACGGGGACCCCTGGGCTGGGTACATTCCAAGGAGCACTTGCCTTAGGCTGGGGGGTAGGGCGGCAGATTAACACAGAGGCTGGAGGCCTGGGTTTGGGGAGGGAAGAGAGATACGAATGTGAATGTGTGTGTGTACGGGTGTGTGTGTATGTGTGCTCCCTATGTGCTGTGCGGGCAGATGTGTGCACCTCTGTGTGAACGCGTGTGTGTACTCTGCCTGTGCGCGTGCCCCTCTGCCCCCTTCCCAACAAACCCCCAGCGGGAGCTGCAGGTGGGTTGGAACTGGGTCAGTCCGACAGGCCCCTACTCCTCCTGGGCCCGGGAAATTCCCTCCGGAGGAACAGGTCCTTCATGGAAACAGGAAGTGGAGGTTCGGGGCTTGGAAACAAACAGGAAGCAGGTCTGGAAAAAACAGGAAGTCCCACCTTGGCAGGCTGAGTTTGTCTCTGTGACAGCTCCCTGGCCTCCCACAGAGCCAGGTCTAGGATTGCTAATTTTGGGTTGGACGTATTCCTGGTGGCTTCATCACATGTTCTCTTTAATTAAAGATTTATCTTTAGCTCCTGGAGACTCTAGTTTGATCCCAGCATAGAAAGCAAGTCTCTGTGCCCCAAATCCTGCCTCTGTGGGTTGCTCAGTCTGCTCCCTGAGCTGGGTCCCCCAAATCAGGGGCACCCCAAAGAGATACTGAGAGAGTGATCCCGGCTCTGGGGTGCACGGTGCGCAGGGCAGTGTGAGACCAGGGCTACAGTCCAAGGGAGCCGGTTTGGGGGTACCTCTCTCCCTCTGGGTCTGCAGCAACCCCACTCCCTTCCCTGCTGCTTTGTGTAGCGCGAGCCAGGGCATGTCATTTCGGGCGGGTGGGGAGTTGCTTCCTATTGTTTGACGCTTCCTGTCTTTTTCCGGGGGGGCTGGGCTGGGGGGGACTGGTAACACCCCGTTTGGTTTCTCCTCGCAGACAGAGCCGGAGCTGAGAAGTGGGCCTCAGAGTCCAGCACATCCTCTTAACCGATTTAACTCCGATTCCTGTTCCTTTTCCTTTCAGCTCTGCGGGGGACGCGCCCAGACAACCTCAGGCTATTACTGACTCTGCCCCAAACAGCACGGGGGCAGCCCATTGAGACAGGGCTGGGGTCTCAGGCTGGGCTGCAGAGAGGGCTGTGTGGGAAGGGTGGGGTCAAGCATGCTGGGGGGGAGGATGGCAATGGAGCGTGGAGATGAAAGAGGCACAGAGACGAAGGGCTGGAAATTGGAACCTGCCAGACTCCACTGAATGAGTTTTTACGCTCACACATGCACATGCACACACACACCATTGCACACTGATGCACATGGATATATTGCACACGCACACACCTGTACATTGCACGCAGCTGTGCACGGCACACATACATGCACACACCGGTACATGGCACATAGCTGTACATGGCACGCACATACACACCTGTACATTGTACACAGCTGTGCACAGCACACCCACATGCACACATTTGTACATTGCACATGGCTGTGCACGGTGCACACACATACACATGCCTGTATATTGAACACGGCTATGCACGGTGCATACATATGCACACGCCTGTACACTGCCCATGTGTGTACATGGCACACACA